CCCAGCAGACCTTTACATCTCTCTCTCTCTCTCTCTCTCTCTCTCTCTCTCTTTTAACATCTGCAACTTTGAACTGGATAGCTATCTTTCTTTTTTTCTTTTTTGATGGTGGTGGTGTGTGAGAGAGAATGGAAACTTCAGAAGGAGAGGAAAACTGAAGATCAGATGGTCTTCCTGACTCATCTCATGTGCTTATCGCGGGCTGACATTTTTGCAGGAAGAGCAGAACCAATGACACTGCATTTCAAGACACAGGAAATGTGGTAATATTGCAGCTACAAGACACAATAAACTTATCTATGGCTCTGCTTACATGATTTGCTGATTTAATTATGGTTTACACAATTAAAGCCGTTTGCTGGGGTTGCGTGGAATATTGAAGCCGGACTTAGCGAACCAGAGAAGTCCAACCTAGGACCCTTTCACACAACCACTGGCTTTGGTGCATCCTCACAAACCCTCAGGATTTTTATAAGTTAATGTGATTGTCCTCACCAAGGTGATTTACTCAATGCTCCATGTTCCCTTTGATCCGTCCTGTTTTCCTCTGAGCTGGGCAAGGTGGGGAGAAAAGAAAGATGGTGGTCAGGTGGTCCTCATCATTTCCTTGTCATCTTTGCTTTTTGCAGTGAACAAAACAAGTAGCCACTAGAGTGGCAAAAGCATTTCTCAGGACAGTCCAAAATCACAAGAAATGAGTTGCAAGGCCCATGATAGCTGGGTTTTAGCAGGAGGGAGGAAGGAACTCTGAGGAGGAGACTGGTGGGATGAGGTAAGAGTTCTCACTAATGAGAAACTGCCCACCACTCAGTTCCAGGTGAAACCTTACACAATTGCCTTCCTGTTTCCCATAGTGCAGCAGATGAACTAGAAATCAACACAGCTTGTGAAAACCATCAACCTTATGGCACATGGAAGGGGCTCTAGGATGGAACACTGCCAACTGAAGAGTGGCTGATGTTAGGAAGCCTCGGGAAAGCTCCATCTCAATTGCTGCTTCTTCTTTTCGAAAGACATTTTCATTTCAAAGCAGTTTACAGCCAAATTCAAACAATCCAAAGGGATGCTTAAAATGTTGGTCAAAGCATTCACTACTCCATGGTATAAAATATGCAAGATAAAATAAATGACAAAATATACCGAAAACACAATTAACGCTGTATAAATATAAAAATAACACAGTGGGATTAGCCCATCATTAAAAGGTCTGGGAGGACTAAAGTGCCTTTACCTGGCACAGAGAAGACAATAAAGATGCTGGTTGTATGTCAGTTGAGGTAGCATTTCTAAATCAGGGAGCTACCACTGAAAAGGTCTACTCCTGAGTAAGCACTTGCTGCACCTGTGGTAATTTCAGATACCTTATCCCTATGCCTTGACACTTTTCTGATATAAAACTGCTCTTCTTGGTTTGTTAAAAAAAAAAAGAAAAAGAAAAAGAAAAAGAAAAAGAAATAACTCCACATGCATTTATAGTTGGATTTAAAAAAAGCAAATCAATAACCCCACAAATTAATATTTCCTTTATATGTCTCCCTCTCATTAGTGTGGTTGGCTGGCATTGAATAGTCATGATTCCTCTGATGATCATAAACCATAAAATCAGACCTTATATTAGAGGAGGATTTAACTGAACCAGGATGAAGGTGAAGAATTTCAGTCAGCTTCTCTGCTACAGCTGTCTGCCAGATGTTCTGAAACCAGAACTCCAGCATCATAGTTTTATCTTTCCAGTGTTTAGCTATAAGCAGTCAACAAACATACCACTCATTCTTTAGACCAGTGTTTCTCAACCTTGGCAACTTGAAGATGGGTGGATTTCAACTCCCAGAATTCCCCAGCCAGCATGATTGGCTGGGGAATTCTGGGAGTTGAAGTCCATACAGCTTAAGGTTGCCAAGGTTGAGAAACACTGCTCTAGATTGGCTTTCCACATTGGACCCTAAAAATGTATACAACAAAGCAAACTGTGGACACATATTCATTCTTTGATTTATAACTTCACTAGTCTCTGAGAACACCTCAGACCAAAGATACAGGGGCAAGACCACCACAGGTGCAAATATGTGCCCTTTTACTCACAACCATCCCAACATAGAGGATCTTCCCTTGTTCACACATGCTAATTTATAAGGAGTCATAAGCCATCTATGAACCAATTTAAGAACATGATTCCCAAATATATTTTTGGGGGGAGATTTTTGGGATACCAAAGAATTTTAGTAGTTTGTGCTGAACTTTTAGCCCAACTCTATAGCACAACAATTTAGATTTTAAGAAATTTATTTTTAGGCTGGCCACAGCCTCAAATTTTGACAATTCCTCTTGTAATGTGGGAACCATGCCAAAAGGGTCTACTAGTATTAGGACAATATTATCTGCATCAAGGCTGATCTTATGTTTGGTATTGTTAATTAAAAGGCCTCTGATAAGCTGGTTGTGTCTAATAGTTTCAGCCAAAGGTTCAGTGGCAAATGCAAATAGAAGGGGAGATAATGGGCCTCCCTGCTTTGGGCTTCCAGCACTGGCAAATAATTCAGTGTTCCAAAAAATCCAAAAATTGTTGCAAAAGGTTTACCATAAATTTGTTTATGAATTTGTTAATAAATGAATTAAATGAATGAATAATAAACCCAGATCCCATCTGCAGATAATTTGCCAGTATAATCAAATAAGGCTATTGCAGCTGATCCAAGGCCTTAAAATATCTAAAGTGGGGATAGTGAAAGGAGTTTTAGTGTTTCTACAGTAATACAGGCCATTCAGAATGTGACAAATTGGATCTGCAATCTGCCTGTCTTTAATAAAACCTGCTTGGTCCGATTTATATAATACTTGATGAAAGAGTTTAGCCTTCTTACAAAAGAAGCTGTAAAAATCTTTAACTTTTGATTAAGCTGGGCAACTGAACAATATGATTCTACTAGTTCTTTATGGATATTGGGTTTAAGAAGCATGGCTGGTCTGGAATGAGTCCACAATTCTTAAACTCTTGAGACAGAGCTTAAAAGAATCACTATTTTTGGAAGTAGTTACGGCTCTGAATTTCTTGGCTGTGAAGCCACCTGGGTGGGTTTGTGAGTGTGCAAATGTGATTTATGACTTTTCATATTGGAGATAACTTCTTATACCTCGTCTTTTGTAAAAGGGGAGTTTGATTAATTTGAGAGACTGCTTGTCTCCAATCATTTCTGCCCACCCAGTGTGTTCCAGCAGAGGGGAACTCTCACTCCAGGTCCCCTCCATTAAATATTGTCATCTCGTGGGGCCAAGGAAGCATGACTCCTGTATTTTGGCCCCCGCCCTCTGAAACCCCCAGAGATAAGGATGGTGTCCTCTCTCTAGGATCCCAGAAAGCCCTTAAGACAACACAGCCTCTCTGGGAAGGAACCAAAAATGAACATCCTCTGTTCTCAGCTACACATCTCTGCAGTGAGCCAGCTAGAAGTAGCCTGTGGCTTTGCACTGTGCATGGTTATGTTGCAAGGTGGCTAATTAAAAAAAACCCGACCGCATACCAAATGATTGCCCAACCCTGGAGTACAGATTGGTCCATTTCGTAATCAACTAGGTGGCTAAAGTCATGCAGATGGCACATGGATTTCACTACACTTTGCGTGCCCTGCCCACTTTTTGCCTCTGCCCAGTTGATGCATCCCTGACTGGACAGTAGGAAACTGATCTCTGGAGAGGGGCAAAGTTAAAGCCAATACCCCTAAGTGATCTTGATTAATAGTTTCCCCACTGCTACAGGAGTCTTGATTGAGCTCACTAAAGCTAGAAGAGATTTTAAGGTTGCATCCCAACTGAACTGGGGTTTTGAAGCTTGATTCCACAATTCTATGGTGGGGTGAAAAAAAGATGGTGGCCAGATACCACCCTGTCCTCATTGTTTTTTGGAGTGAAGGAAACAAAGCAAAGAGCCACTGTGTAGTAGAGTGGCAAAAGGACTTCTCAGGACAGTTCTAAATTACAACAAATGAGTTGCAAGGCCCATGGTATCTGGGTTTCAAGAAGGAAGAAGGAACTCTGAGGATCTGACCAGTGGGATGAAGCAAGAGTTCTCAGTGATTAGAAACTGCCTACCAACTCAGTTCCAGATGAAATCTTGCACCATTTCTGTCCCAATATTTCTTGTACTGAAGCAGCTGAACTAGAAATCATGGCACAGCTTGTGAAAACCATCAGTCTTATGACACATGGAAGAGGTCTACTTGGCTACTGGTGCACATTAACTAGGTAGCTAAAATTATGCAGACGGCACATGGGTTTCACTGAGCTTTGCATGCCCTGTCCATTTTTTTGCCCCTGTCCAGTTGATTAATCACTGACTAGACAGTAGGGAACTGATCTCTGAGGAGGGGCAAAGTTAAAGCCAATACCCCTAAGTGATCTTGATTAATAGTTTCCCCATTGCTACAGCAGTCTTGATTGAGTTCACTAAAGCTAGAAGAGATTTTAAGCTTGCACCCCAACTGAACTGGGGTTTTGAGATGGATTGATTCTACAAATGATGGAGAAGTCTGTTCTGCAGACACAGTCTTGTGTACAGTGGGGCTTGATCACCAGTAAACCTGCTTAGAGTTTCTTAACTTTTTAACACTTTTTCCACACTGAAGATGCCTATTGAATCTGAAAACTTGACAATTAAAGGTCATTGAATGCAGCCATGCCCCAAACTAGCTCATAATTGTTGAATAATTTCATGAGATCAGAGAATCAAATTGTGGAATTTCAGCTATGTTTTATTTTTAATTTTGCATTTGAGAAATCAATACGTGCCCTCTAGGAGACTCATAGGTCAGATGTGTTGGTAATCCCTAGTTTAGCTTGAGGTGGGAATCCAGCCATTCTCTTTACAGTAATCAGAGGCATCGGATTTTCTCTATAGTATGGCAAAGCAAACTTTATTGAATGAAAAAAATAACTTGATGAAAAAATATAAACAAATTATATGCAAAAAAAAAGAAAAAAAAGAAATAGAAGTAGCAAATCCACAAACAGTATGCCTAACTCTCAGCCATACACTTAAAAAAAAGCAAGAGCAATGAGCATCTCTCAGATGTTCTCCTTCCCTAGTTGTAGCACAGTGATAGAACATCTGCTTTTCATGCTGGGGGTTCAAGGTTGAATCGCTGGCCTCTCTGATCAAAAGAAGGTTATGGGAAATGCCTCGGCCTGAAACTCACTATATGTCAGAACAAGTTAATAAATAAATAAATCTAGTAAAAGCAATTTATGTATCTTCCGTAACAACCATGCATTTCAGGTTGAGGTGGGCTTTCCAGAAGACTGCATCCTAAAGAGTTGTGTAAATTATTGGTTTGGAACTGAATTTAATGAACTTAATTGAAATCAAGTTCACTAAGATTTAAGACCCTATTGATTTCTATTAATGTAACTTCCATTGATCTAAAGACAACTGCATCTGGATTCGACCTATTTGTTTCTGAGCAAAGTAATAGGAACTGAGTAGTAGAACATCCTTCTTTGATGTATGGTTATGGGGGCAACTCAGATTCAGTTAGGACTGTGAGCCTGATGGGACGTGACCTAGATTGCTATACCAGAATCTATATACTTTGAAATAATGTCTTTGTTTGGAGAGTAGTGAGTTCATGTTTCCCGAAGAACTCTTCAACCAACAATGGGTGAAACTGATGGTGATTCAAGTAATATGAATGTGTCTATTTTTATTTACTTATTTGTTCAATTTATAAGCCACCTCCATTGTCCAAGGAACTCTAGGTGACATACAACATATTAAAACAATAAAAACAAGTATAGGTAGTGGTGGACATAAATAGTTCTGAAAATAAACTAAGTGATGATTGAAGTGCAAGATGTTATATAGGGAAAGCAATCAGACAGAAGTTCACAGTGGAAAACTTGCACACAGTAGTTGAGTTGACCCACTGAAGATGACTTCAATTTCAGAATTTCTTGCTTAATGCCTAGAAGGCCAAGGCAATGGAGGAAGATTATCTATAAGGAATTCGGGGACCTGGATTTTTCAAGTCGCTGTATATATCCATTCGCCGCCCTTGAAGTTCCTGTGGGGTTAGAAAGAAGGTATATGTACATTATCATTTGCTTTTCCCAAAGAATTTTAAGCCCTGATAAATTAGTAACTAGATCAAAATCTTCTTTTGAACCATGACCAGGTGCCTTCAGGAAATCTGCAAATCAGGCATAAAATCAACAACCCATTTTCCTATTATATTTCTCCATAATCTATACTCTCCAGAGTATATTACCTGAGAATATATAAAGGTTCCATTTAGCCAAGAGATGACAAAAAACATATTTATGAATTAGCCCCATTCAGCATTCTCCAATTTAGTGACATCCACGTATGCTAGAACTGCAACTCTCAGACTTCCCAGCAAATCTGTGTTAAAATTCCAAGTCATTGGGAAGGGACTTGTTTGAGTATGGCTGGCGTAAGCATTCCTTAAACAAATATTGCCATCACAATTGTGATTTTATGGCGGTATTCCCAGAATTCTTACCAAACTACAATTTCCTGGATTCTCTGGGGAAAGTCATGAACAGACTGGTTTAAAAGGGGGATTGGTAAATAGCTTGTTATGGAGATGGGCAATCATTTTCTCTTCCTCCCTAGGTTTATCAAGATAAATTGTGAAGATCTGCATAAGCAAAGCTAGTGATTGGAGCCAAAGCTAATGAGTGATAGAACAAAATTGAGCAAGTCCATCTATTTATCCTTTCTGAACTTGTTTTCTCCCTTCCGGTTTAATCCACGGCTACATCAGATAGCTCTTACCAGAAGATGGAAAGTCATCACTGCAAGAGCTTTTGAGATTAAGACAAGGGCTGAATGCAGCCCCGACTACCACAGGTTTCACACCGATGGTATGAAAGAGTGCTTTGAAAAGAACCCATGTAAATCAATGGGAATAGCATTAATGTTGGGGTTTTACCACAGCTCATCACAAAATGGATTTTTTCCATTGTGGGGCTGTTGTTCTTACTTCTCCTTTTATAAAAGCAAGGGCAAAAACACCAGCCAACACATCTGTAAAAGGAGCAGGCTTCTTTGGAATCAGCCCTGATCTTCATCAGCTCTCTATACAGGATCAAACAATATCCCAAGGCTTTTTCTAGGGAGGAGGGGGATCCATTAATGGCAACATTTTCTCCATCTATGGAAAAGGTTGCTGGAATCAAGTACAGCAGAGATGGGTACACTGTTAGAACATCTGAAGGGCCAGGTTGGGGACAAATCATCCTGGAGAAGCCCCATCTATATGATCACTAAAAATTGACTCCAATATACAGTGGAACCTCGGTTTACGAAATATATTTATAATGAATATAGTCATATAATATTATATTATAACAATTATACAGCAGGGTAAAT